ATCTTTGTTTCTTATCATACCAATTTTTGCCTGAAATTTACCTCCAATGTTTCTAATTTTCTGGAAGAGGTCTCTTGTCCTTCCTATTCTGTTGTCTTCTTCAACTTCCATGAATTGCTTATTTAAAAATAGTTCCTTATCTCTTCTGGCTAACCTCTGGAATTGCGCATTTAACTGGGCATATCTCCCCTTATCCCTGTTTCCTTTTGCTTTCCTCCTTTCTTGGGCTACTTCCAGTGTCTCAGCAGACAACCATTTTGCCTTCTTGTTTTTCTTTTTCTTTGGGATCTACTTTGTTGCCGCCTACTGAACAATGTCTCAGATTTGTGTCCATAGTTCTTCTGGGTCTCTTTTTACTAAATCTAGTCCTTCAAATCTGTTCTTCACTTCCACTGTATATTCGCTAGGAATGTTAGTGAGATCATATCTAACTGGTCTGTGTTTTCCCTGATCTCTTTAGTTTTATTCTAAATTGGGCAATAAGAAGTTCGTGATCTGAGCTACAGTCAGCCCCAGGTCTTGTTTTCACCGACTGGATGGATGTCCGCCACCTTTGGCTGCAAAGGATGTAGTCAATCTGATTTCGGTGTTGACCGTCTGGTGAGGTCCATGTGTAAAGCCGTCTTTTAGGTTGTTGGAAGAGAGTATTCGTTATACACAGCAAGTTTTCCTGGCAAAATTCTATCAGCCTGCGTCCCGCTTCATTTTGTTCTCCCAGACCATGCTTGCCTGTGATCCCAGTTGTCATTTGACTTCCCACCTTGGCATTCCAGTCTCCTGTAATGAAAATAATGTCTCTTTTTGGTGTATTATCCAGTAGGTCCTGCAGATCCTCATAGAACTGATCTACTTCTGCTTCTTCAGCAGCTGTGGTTGGGGTATATTTGGATCACTGTAATGTTGAAAGGCTTTCCTTGCACTCGAATTGAGATCATTCTGTCATTTTTTGGGTTGTATCCAAGCACCGCTTTAGCTAATTTCTTATTAATTATGAAGGCTACTCCATTTCTTCGATGTTCCTCTTGTCCGCAGTAGTAGATCTGGTGGTCATCTGATGTGAAGTGTCCCATTCCAGTCCATTTCAGTTCGCTGACCCCCAGAATGTCTATCTTTAGTCTTGACATCTCACCAATAACAACATCCAATTTGCCCTGGCTCATAGATCTTACATTCCAGGTTCCTATGGTGTGTTGATCTTTAGAGCATTGGATTCGTCGTTCACCTCCAGTACCGTCGGCCGCTAGCCTTCCTTTCGGCTTTGAGCTAGCTGCGTCATCACATCTGGGGCTAGTTGAACTTATCCTCTGCTCCTCCCCAGTAGCATTTTGGCCATCTTCCGACCTGGGCGTCCCATCTTCCAATGGCATACCGACATATCTCTGGTTGTACTGGTCCATTTAGTTTTCTTGGCAAGGATACTGGAGTGGTTTGCCATTGCCTTTCCCAGGGTCAGTATTTACTATTTAAATTCAGTATTTAAATTCAAATTTATCAAATTTACTATTTAAATTCAGTAAATTCAGTAGGTCAGTATTTACTATTTAAAACTTTTTGGAAACTGTAGTATATTTAACAAGCATCAAGAAAAAGAACAATATCAGTACTTTTCAAAATATCTGGAGAACGTGCATTTTCTCCCCTAATTAGTTCAGGAATGGAACTCTTTTTATGTCCATAGGTTACACTTGTTTCTGTCTTTCCCAGAAGCTCTGTGCAGACCAGAAAATGTTGGTTTGTGGACCAACACAAGTTCATGGTTCACCACTCTGAATAGCAATGGGTTATGTAGTCCATTCATTTGAGCCAGTATGACCAAAGTGGTATATAGCGAGCTTGTTTGATTGAAGCTACAGTAACACCATGGATTATGGGTTTTGCGGGTAGATAAAGGGAGTACTGCTGCCTTAAGAGCAACAGCCATGGGTCCCTTCTCACTACTCTTGCTCTCCCCTCACCACTACCATGTTCAAACTTGACAGCCCATCCCATTCCTCTCATTCTCCCCTACCTTGTCCTGCCCTCTTCATCCACATTGTAACCCCAATACCACTTTTCCTCCTTCCTCACATACCTCATCCCATCACCTTCCCCTCATCCATCCTCCTCCTTTTCTCACCTAGCCATACTAGTGAGTGGATGAATATCTGCTGTGAGTGGATGAACATCCTTGAAATCCTTTGTCCCTCCTACTTCACCCCTGTCTGCCTACCCAAATATTTTAAGGTTATCTTTTCAAACACATTGACATACTGTTAGTAGCATACATGAGTATATGTACACTTTATGCTTCTGTGCTTTATGTTTTGTGTGTCTTTTTTCTATTTTGATCAATACTGGGGATGAAATTATTTTCCCCACTTCACAATGATCAAATACCCCACCACCATCAGACTCACCATTTAGCTGGTACATCCCCCAACCACTCACACTCCATATCCATTTGGTAATGGGTATGGAACAGGAGAATTAGGAAGGCATTTGGTTGTCAAGTTACTGAGATGCAGGACAAAGGTATCATATGACAAGGCTTCCAGAGGTTGAAGGTTTGCAATTTGTGCATTCCCTAATGGCTACTAAGTAGCTATGGAGTGCAGGACTGTAACGGTAAGTTAGGATGTGGTTGGGGCCCAGGTGGTGCAATGGGTTAAACTGCTGAGCTGCTGAACTTGCTTACCAAAAGGTCGCAGGTTCGAATCCAGGGAGCGGCGTGAGCTCCCGCTGTTAGCCTCAGCTTCTGCCAACCTAGCAGTTTGAAAACATGCAAGTGTGAGTAGATCAATAGGTATTGCTCCGGCAGGAAGTAACAGCGCTTCATGAAGTCATGCCAGCCACATGACCTTGGAGGTGTCTATAGACAACACCGGCTCCTCGGCTTAGAAATGGAGATGAGCACCAACCCCCAGACACGACTGGACTTAATGTCAGGAGAAAACCTTTAGCTAGGATGAAATTAGAGGGGAGTCATAGTGTAGTTATACATGCAGAATATTTATGCTGTGCTCCATGACACAGGGTTTTGGCTAGTATTTGACTCTTCTCCCAATTAAGAATGTATCTAATGTATATTTGATTTGACTCTCTAACATAATGGAAGCAAACGCTTCTGGGACTAGTAATGTTTTGAATATTTGATTTAAAGATTGCTTACTATCATGGAATTACATTGTTTTTTGCAATGAAACAAGGTTGTCTGAAAGATTTTCATTTAGACTGATTATACTCAATTTATCCAAGAATAATATAACTATACGATAGCAGCACTCTGTGGAACTTCCTCTGAAAGCAAGTCAGCCTGGCTTCAGCTTTACTTAAATCTTCTGCCTTATTAATCTGACAGCCAGAAGAGCCTATATTGCTTCATATGGCCCTTGGCTTGTTAAATCATAGTAAACTTAAAAGGTCTTTTTGATAAAAACAACTCTTCTAAAATAATGTTTACTCTGTTTTCCATCATCTTGGAGAATTAAAAAAAAGTAACTATAACTATCACAATAATAATTGGAGGGAAATTACACACCATGTGTTACTCAGGGCCAAAGTTTACCAATGTGCTGCTCAAGAGTAATCACAAATTACTTTGTAGCAAGATGAAAAAGTACAGCCCACTTGTATGAAGTCTCAGCTGTTTTTAGAGCTTTCAACCCCCTCCAGATTTTCCCAGACAGTTCTTTTTCTGGCCAAAAAAGAGTAGGTGTTCTTTTCCCCCTAGAAAAAAAGAGGTTTATCTTAATGTTTCCACATTATCTCTGTTGCCTCAAGCCAGTACTTAACACAAGAGTCTGGTTCTTTAGGACCAGACTTCGATTTCTACTTTGGAATTTGATTTTTGTTTTGTTTTTGCATTTTTTAAATTTTTGAAAATTGCCCCCTCCCCCCGCCCCCAAACCCAACGCAGTTACCGATCCTTGTTTTATGGGACCTGCCCATGCTGGAATCTTAGAATCATAGAATCACTGAGTTGGAAGACACCTCGTGGGCCATCAAGTCCAACCCCCTGCCAAGAAGCAGGAAAATCGCATTCAAAGCACCCACAACAGATGGCCTTCCAGCCTCTGTTTAAAAGCTTCCAAAGAAGGAGCCTCCACCACACTCCAGGGAAGAGAGTTCCACTGCTGAGGAAGTGCTTCCTAATGTTCAGGTGGAATCTCCTTTCCTGTAGTTTGAAGTCATTGTTTTGCATCCTTGTCTCTAGGGAAGCAGAAAACAGAAGAGAGGGGTAGCATGACTTCCCTGGATCTAGACACTATACTCCTATTTATGCAGGCCAAAATCTCATTGGCTTTTTTGCCACCACATGACATTGTTGGCTCATGTTTAACTTGCTGTCCATGTGTCACATGGTCTTTTTCACACATACTATTGTCAAGCCAGGCGTCCCCATTCTGTATCTTTGCATTTTATTTTTTCTGCCTAATAGGAATATCTTGCATTTGTCACTGTTGAAGTTCATTTTGTTAGTGTTCGCCAATCTCCCTAATCTGTCAAGATTATTTTGAATTCTGCTGTCAACATCTCCCTTTAACTGTGGTGCACAGAATTGGACACAGTAAGACCCATACTTACTTGAATCAAAGTAAGACATACACACACCCAACACACATACCAAGTTCTATGTACACACATATAAATACAGAAAGGAAGTGACATCTTCCCTATGTCTAATAGGAGGGACACATGGTACCGCTCTCCCGATTTCTGTGGTTCATATAAAGATTCATTGGGAGGTGCAGTTTCACTGTGCACTGGACTAATGATACTCATCAGCACTGAAACACTTCATTCTTGCTTTTCAATATTTCCAAACCTTGGTGTAAAACTACTCCAATGTTTCCCAAAATGATGCTCTCCAGATTTATTAGACTAAAGTAAAAAAGAGGAAAAAAACTGATATTCCCTCTAAACATTTAGGATGACAGAGACTTCCAGAAGTTAGGCTTCATTTCTACTTTATATTCCAAGTAATTTAAAAAGGCAAGCATCGTCTACCAATATGTACTTACTCAATTGTGTTCCTGTCCACTTTTCCTGTCATGTTAATGCCATAGAATTGCTGCATAGCAGCGATTGCAGATTTCATTGTCTCCGCAGTGCGCAACACCGACATTCTGGGGTCAGTTGGTGGAAGGTAGCCGTACTTTTGTAACCACACCTACAACGACAAGCAGAATGTGTAATCAGAAAGGATTTATCCACTATGATTCACTAGTAGCCTGTAATTAGGTTTTTAAAAGACATAATTCAGAATACATCATTTATTGCAAATCCCGCTGGAATCAAGGAGAATTAAGAATGCAGTTTAGTACTTTTATTCCAGTTATTTCAATAAAGTGTCCCTGTGGATACAGTGCATCGATAAAGGGGAGGAATAAAAGAGATTCTTCTGCAAGACATACAGATAAGAATGAGGGTTATATAGAAGCACAATCTGAAAGTTAGTACCACCAGTTTTTAAAATTGTATTAAACAGAAAGTCCTAGCAGCTCCACCTTGCATCATGGAACAGACAGAAAATGTGAGAGTCATTTTTTATGTTTGTATCTCCTGGAATCTTTCCTTTTAAACTTTAACAATTACAACCATTATCTTTGTGTGCTTACTTCAATTGTTCTGGTACATTGAGGAGATTTTTGGCACTAGACATATTTTGGATTTTTAAAATTTTTGGCATTGGAAAAGTGCCATGTTTTTACTGCTTTTTTGCAGGGTTCAACCACTATTTGGGAGGCTCAATTCAAATCTGCAGAAACAAACAAACAAACCATACACAAATATACATGCTGTGTATGAATCATGATACAAACATTTCTGTTTTATTTCTGGAATGACATTTTCTACTTTCTCTGAAAATTCCTTTTTACTTTTTTCCTCACAGGACTTTCTATTTTGTTTACTTCTTTGCTAGCTTAATTAAAATACTGAACATGAAGGTGAATCCCACAAGGTTTACTGATTATTTTGTAACCTTTGTTTGTTTATTTATTTGTTTCTCCTTATAAACATTTGCCTTTTTTATTTAGTTTGGCCAACATAGCTGCAAGTATTTATGAAAAAGAGCAGTTGATTTTAAATATTTATCTACTTATCTACCCAAAGTTAATTTCTCTTGCATGTTAAATTTTCATTGGGATCCAGGAAAATGAATGGATTTGAAAAGTTTTTGCCTGTATTTTATTGCGCTTGGTCCCCAGTCCATACAGCCCAGAAGGAGAGGGGCCTCTGCTAGTTTTGGTAACCCTCAATACCACCTTAACTCACAACAAAAGGAACATCTGTGGGCACTTCCAGACATACATTTAACCTGGTTCAGAGTGGGTTAAGTAAACCTGCTCCAAAGCACGTTAAAGTACCCTCACCCCAGGGGGGAAAAAAAGACAGGCTTTCTCTGGATTGTCCTCATTGCAGTGCAGTAACTTCCACTCTGCCATTAGGCCACCCCACAAAATCCTTAAAAAGAAAAAAGAAAGCCATTAGACCTCTCTTCAGCCTGAAGTAACATATCAATGACAAGCAAGAAGAGAGGGGGAGCCAGGAGCGATTAGAGCTAACCCCGTCTCCTTGCGTGTTATTGGTATGTTCCATCAGACTGAAGATTTCTTTTAATTTTAAAGGGTTTTTTTGGGGGGGGGTTGGAAAGGGGGGCACCATGTCACATCTCTGGACTCAAGGAACCCATAAGGTGTGAGAAGCGTGTGTGGACAAGCCTCCGGGTAGTCCTGGGACTACCTGTGGACATGTCCCCCCAAGGCTCTATACTCCATTAGACCTGGGCCTTTCAGGAAGGCCTGAGTCTAATAAGTATCAAAGTAATTCAGGACAAAGCAGGGATTTCCTGCTTTGTCTCAACCGTTTTTTACTGAAGGTGCCATTTGGACATCTCCAGTAAAAATGCAAGAGGGCCCAGGATATGGGCCCTGACTGGATAGGCCCTAAGACAAATTGTGGGCCTGTGACTCTAACATCATTATTTTCTGTGCCTGCATGGTACATGTGATATGATGAAAGGAAGAAAGAAGGAATTGCAAGTACACTCATCCCTACACATCCCTGTAGTTTTGACTTTTGTGGATTTGATTATTCACATGTTTGATTAAAATGTTCTTTCTAAGAATTAGCTTCATCTACACATCCCTGAGAACTCAAATTCCTAGAAAGAACGCTTCTCTAGAAATTTCTAGCTCTTCAATTCTATGATCAGCTTCCAGTGAACATCGGCAATAATGCTTAAAGACCTACGAATTCCTAGAGAGATGTAAAAAACCTATCAATTTTGTTATGCACATTTTTTTCACTTTTAATGAGGGTCCTGTCTGTCCCCTTAACCCCAATGAGAATGAGCTCTGATACATGTTGTCATATTCACTAAAAGTCTAATTACATTACTTGTTGTCGTTTAAAAATTGCCTTGATACTATGTTATTGGGTGTACCCTTAATATGGTCTGGACATAACCATCTCTTGAAATCTTTTTGCTTAATCTGTTTTACATCTCATACAATTATCTTGTGATTGAGGAATCAATCTTGCAAAAAAAATAGTATCTCTTTCTTTATTAAGATCTTTTTTGGTTAGAAATGTAATTCAGTTTAAAAGAATGCATGCATTCAAGTAAATGTCATTTCTTGAATAGAGAACTGAAACAGCAATGACATCTGATATTCACACATTTGAATAATTTCTAGGACAATAAAAAGTGTAGAAAAGGTAGCATCTAAACTAAAAACAAACAAAAAACCCCAGAATATATTTTACAAAGATTTTGCCATTATTTGCCAAAGGAGAAGAAACAAAGAAAATTATTTAAGGTAAACTGATGATATGAACATCTGGACAAAATTCAGTTTCAATATCTTAAGTGTTTGGCAAGCCAGTTAAATCAAATTAAACAAGTTAGAAAACATGTAAACATTAAAAGCACTGCAGCCAAAACAGTTTCTCCCATTTTGTTATTTAAAAGGATCTAGACATATTTGCATAAGAAACACAAAATGCCACAGATGGTGGTGCATTAGTTTGGAAAGCCTCATGACAAGCTAGTCCATAGACATCAAATCAAAAGGTCAAACTGAAAAGTTTCTTTTTGGAAACCATTATTTAAACTGAATCTGACATTTGGTTTCCCAATCTGTTTCACAAAAGAGCTTCATGTTTACTGTTTCCATTGCTTGAAGTCTGCTTTAGCAAATCGAAGGTATAGCCCACAGATTTACTGTGAAGATTATAAACATGTTAAATGCTACAAAAATAGCAATATTTATGTTAGTCTGTTTCATTTGTTTTCTTGTGATTCACAAAAAGATCTTATGCCTATTGTTTGAAGTCAGTCTAAGTCACAAAGATTTAAATCATGTGTACATTTAAGGGTAGATTACATTTAAGATACTGTTCAGTTTCAGAACCCATTGTTTCAGGGAGTTACCCATGTTTTAGTCCTTGCTAAAAAAATCACGTGTATAGATTTAGCCAAAATAGTTGCAATTAATTCTCTGGATCAGCTTTTAAAACAGATCAGTTTCTCTCCAGTCCCATATCTGCCCTTCAGCCTCAGTTTATTTCAACTGATGCAAACCAAGTTCAAGATGCAATAGTAGTAGGGGTGTGCAATTTGGCCTAAAAACATACCGTTTCGGGGTCTATTGTCAGCTGGCCCTTCATTCTCTTTAACAAGAAGTTACTCAAATTGGGAGGGGTGTTGCTGTTTTCATTCAGCAAAGATTTGGCCCATTGGCTACAATGGGAAACTTTAAAGACTCAATCCTCAGTCGTTTTAAAGCCTATCTGCATGAAACCTACCTCAGTTTTAGACCCCATTTACAACTGCAAGTCTGCCAAGTTTCAAAACAATTCACCAATCTACTGATGTTTTAGAATTATTTTAAGTTTTAACCATAACATTTTTTTAAAAATGAAACAAACCTCAAGAGAAGTTCTGGGGATTGTAGTTGCTGATAATGTCCATTCTCAGCCAATCTGAGCATGGACACAACCAGGCTTTTTATTGGCTAAGAAACAGAGAGAGAGAGAGAGAAACTTCAACTCCTATCATGCTCTGAGAGGAACTCAGAGACTTTTCAATGCCCACCCCATGTAAGTGCTTCTGGGAAAGTGAGTTCCCAGCAGGGCTCTCTCTGGAGGAGGTGCCTAGGGAGCTTTTCCCAAAGAAATGGACATTTTGCTATTGGGGAGGGAGAAAAGACTGCAGGATCTTCTCCAGGAGCCCCACAGCAGACTCGCGTCTCAGGTATATTGCAGACTTAACCCCATCTTCACCAGGAGCCAGTAAAATTCAGCTCCCTTAATCAATTTTGCTAGGCTTTGTGGATCCCTCCTGCTAGTTCTGTTTTTGGAAATTATCTCAAACAGATCACCAAATATTACAAATCATTTTTGTCCAAACTGGTTCAGGCCAAAGCCTAAAAATTAGTTTTTGATTTAGTCAGTTCGGGGAAAGAGTAGTCATGCAAAAGCTACAAGACTTGAATCTTGCATGTTCCTCAATACTAACTTTAGCTATCTTAACCGCAATCTGATATTAACTTTAGCTATCTTAACTGCACTCTGATGTGACTTGGCCACATGTGTCCTGATTTTCATCTCTGAACATTGGAGGGTATGACAGTATTTTCTTAAAGCGATTTGTTATCATGTCTCCTCTCTTTGCTGCACTTGCTGCTCTGATGAATGAATAATAAGAAAAAAAACCACCACATTTTCATTCAGAGGCCACTGGAATAATCAAATAATCCCTTTAAGTTAAAAATAATAGCAACAACCAGTACCGATGGGATTTCTACAGTATTTGATGGCCACTTCCTGTTATGATAGGGACTCTCATGCATTATGTGTAGTGCCAAAGAGATTTTAAAAGAGTCCTAAAAAAGGAAATAGGGTGATATTTTTTTAAAAATACAGGGGGAATTAGGTTGGCAAAAACTACAAAAAACATGCATCACTGATACGTTTATTAGGCCAACGGAAAGCACACAAAATATACATACAGAAGTTTTCAAAACTCACACAAAAATGGCACAGAGTTCATGTAAGAGGAAAATGGCTTGTTTTGATCACAGGCTAAAGGCCTTCATATTGTTTGTTTTTATGTTATAGAGAGACGGTGATAAGAACTCAAATTGTATGGACTTCTTTCACTAT